CCGGGACCCGGGATTCCGAATCTCCAATCCCCTACCGCCCAGGACCCAGGAGTCCAGAGTCCCAGCCGCTCCTCCATCACCACCCAGATGCCCGGGCCTCCTGGCCCCTCCAAACACCAAGTACCCTGACTCTCAGCACCCAGGCCTGATCCTCCCAGCTCCGTCTCTGGCATCCTCAAGAGCCGGACTCCCAGCCCCTCGCTCCCTCAAGGGGCCGAGCGTGTCTCACCTCCCCACCCCACCCCCATTACCTCGGGGATTCCGTGGCGCGGATTGCGGGCCCCCAGGGCCGCGGCCTCGGCGCTGCGCCAGCCTCGCTCTTTCCCGCGGAGCCGCCGCCGGGTCCCCGATCTAGGGTTGGTGCCCCGCGAGTTTTTAAACTGGGGTTCTAGCACCGCCCGGTCATGGGTAGGGCCCCGCCCACAGGCCTGGGAGTCCCCGTGTCGCGCTCTAGCAAGCCGAGTCTCTGAATGGGCGGGGCTGACACTGCGAGCCAGACTCCTGAGTCTCCCAGGAAAGAGGCAGCTGGGGGCCCCATCTTAGGTCTGAAGGAGAAGTGGGCCTAGAACAGCCGAGTCCTGAAGGAGGAGAGCACTGAGGGCCTAGACTTCTGAGGCTCTATCCAAGGGGGTGATGGAGGTTTCGATTTCTGGGCCCTGGGCTGAGAGGGGACAGTATTACTGTGTCCTGGGGGAAGAGGGGACTGGGGCCCCAGTCCCCAGGGAGGGAAGATCTGTTGGTAAGAGCGACCATAGGTGGGCTCAAATTTCTCCCTTTCCCCCACATCACCTTCTTTTTCAGAGGGCAGTTCTCATTTACTCATCATCATTTAAAATGATTTATTACTGCAAGAGAGGTACTTTGCTGGGCTCTGTGGTATAGCTGTGAACTAAGCAGCCAGGAATTCCCAGCCCTCAAGCCAACTGACATTCCAGGGGAGGCTCATTCTCGGTTCCCATCTCAGTGATCATGTTAATCATTTCTCCCAGGCTCTCAAGGCTTCTGCTCTCCTGGTTCTCCTCCCTCACATGCTGTTGCTTCCCTGGCTGTTTCCGCCTCTTCACCCATTCTTGGGGGCCAGGGGCACTCCTCTGTCTGTACTCACTTCCTTGGTGACCTCATCCAGTCTCGTGGCTTTAAATACCATCCATAAGCCATCAACCTGAAAATTTACATTTCCAGACCAGATTTATCCCCTGAATTCATAGATGCAGCTGTGGTCATTCAGTTCCACGAGGAATCTGTCAGGCATTTCCAACTCAGTGTCCCCAGACCTTGACACTTTCCCCTAAACCTGCTTCCCCTCATTTGCCATCTCTGTCAAAGGATGCCCCAACTTTTCAGTTGCTCAGTCCAGAAGTTTTGGTCATCCTGAATCCCTCTGTCTCTCACATGCCCATACCTACATGGTTAACAAATTTTGTTGGTTCTACTTCCAGAATCTTTCCATCTCTCCAGTGCCCACAACGTGGTCCATCTGTCACCTCCCACCTGGACAAACATAGCAGCCTCCCTGGTCTCTGACCCTACCCCCAAAGGCAGTCACAGGGACTCACCACTTCTACCCCTCCCACACACACAGGAAGCAGGTGGCCTTGTCACCAGCAGGGTGATATCCGCTATTGCTTGCTTCTCTACTCCCCCACTGTTCCTCAGGACTTCTCTGGACCAAAGCCTTTTGCCAGACCCCTTCTAGCCCCTACCCACCATGGCCCCTTCCAGTGACATCCTGTTCCTGCTTTTGCTCCCAGGTGAAGCCAGTGGCTATGGGGGGTGGCAGGCACGGTATTTATGAAAAGGGTGGCTCAGGTGGCATCTGAAGGGAGGGGTGCTGAGAGCAGATCCTCCCAGTACCCCTTCCTTCCTCGAGATCCATTTGGCTTCAGAGGCTGGTTCTCTGGGGAGAGGAACGGAGTCTGGAGCCTCTGCCTGTTAATCGCCCCATCTCCCTGCTGGGTCTGTCTCTACTTCTTCTTCTGATTTCCTATCTCTGTGTGTCTTTGGGAGCTCCCCTTCCCATCTGGCCTCTTTCTCATCTGCTCCCTCTGGAATGGAGGTTGCTTCTCAGGACACCACCTTTCCCTGCACCCTGTTTTGGGAACCACCTCTCCCTGCTGACCTGCCTTCCCTCTCTTTTCACAGTGGCTGCGGCTCTGACAACCCCAGGTGAGAAATCAGCACTCCTTCCCTTTTGCCATGGCCCTTCAGGTACTGCTTCTGTCCCTAAAGTGTGGCCTGAGGGTCCTGGAACACCCCAGGTCACCACCTCACCTCTCACCCCCAAATCAGAGCCCCCAGAGGACCTGCAGCCCTCTCTGGGTCCCCGTATCACTGCTCTCATCACCAAATTGAAGCCCCAGGGACTCAGCCACCCCCCAGCCTTCTTTGGGAGTACCCACTAGGCCCGAAGCACCACCCATGTCTCTCTGTGCTGGGACACCCCCACCTGTCTCCAGTCCTCCATCTCCCCTTTCATCCCCCAAGTCAAACCCAGAGAATCTCAGACAC